ATTGGCCCAGTCCGTTTTGGGAGACATCCCACGAAGAGCGACCGTGTTCCTTTCTGTTCAGAAACCCCCTCTAGCCGGGGCCTGGGATGAAGCACATAGGAAGTCAGCTTTATTCCTGGCCAGATCCTGCGTGCTTCAATTCTGGGGTTAGACCTGGACTGTCAGCCTCTCCCCAGGGTCTTTTCCACCCCAGACTCCTTTTAGAAAAGGGGTCCTGGGACTACTTCTTCTTCTTCTTTTGCAAAACCCTTTGTTCTGTCACTGAATTACAGTCTTCTATGAGGAACCTAGGAAAGTGATCTTAGAGCAAGTCAGGTGATTGGCCCTTTCAACCTGCCACAATAGGACCCCATGTTATCTATGGGATCTGTTTCCACCGACTCCCTGATCCATGGTCTGGAAATATTAAAAATAGGAAAAGAAAAATCCTAGAAATGTGCATTTCTCAAAGTGAAATTAACAGAACTGGTCACTAGGAGGAGCCAGAGACCATGCTATGTATCTAGCATTTGCTACCATCCCCCCCTTTTTTAAAGCATCCATGGGGTGGGCATTTGCTACCACCACCCCCCTTTTTTAAAGCATCCATGGGGTGGGGGAATGTATGGAGCTGATCCTCCGTGGCTACGGGGGTCCTGTTGTATCATCAACCCTGACAGACAGCAGTTTTCTAGACTTTTAAGTGGGATCCTTCCCTAGACCTGCTTAAAGAGCCCTGAGGAACCTCCTCTCCGGTAACCCTCGTGCTCTTTCGTTCCTCCACCTCAGGCCGCCTTCAGCACCACCGAGATGGCTCTGGCCTTGAACCGCTACCTTTGCTCTGCTGTGCTGCCCCTCATCACCAAGTGTGCCCCTCTTTTCGCCGGCACCGAGCATCGGGCCATTATGGTGGACTCCATGCTCCATACCATCTACCGCCTGTCCCGTGGGCGCTCCCTCACCAAGGCGCAGCGAGATGTCATTGAGGAGTGCCTCATGGCGCTGTGCAGGTACGAGGCGGGACAGGGTGCCGGGTAACCTGTCCCTGAGGTGGGCGGTCATGGGCCCTTGAGATCCGTTCCACCTCCTCCCGATCCATCGTCGGCCCCTCCAGCCAATGGAGGCGATTGTTTTCAATACTGTTTGCAACGTCGTCATTGTTGCTGGTGAATCTGTTCCACCTGGTGCCCACAGACTTTCAGGCAGCTGGCTTCCGAATTTCAGAACTCCACAATAGGTCTAAGCTGCTTTTTGAAAAAAAAATTTGACATTTCCCTCCCCCCCTCCTGCTCACATGATCTTCACAATAACCCTGCAAGATAAATCAGCTGAAGAAGAGTCACTGGCCCAAGGTCACTTGGTGGGTTCTGGGGCTGAATAGGGATTTGAACCCAGGTCTCTCGTGTCCCAGGCCAGAAATGTAAGAGAGCCAAGAGGTGGTCTTACTCCCTTCTTTCTAAACTATTAATAAAAGCAGAAAGCAAACCGTGCTGCTTATAGACCACCTCATAGCACTTAAAGCACAGTCTGGGCAGTTTGCAGTTTTAACTATACAGGCTACACTTGGCCAACCGCCCACCCCAGCAAGCTGGGTATTTAATTTACGGACCAATAATAAGGCTCTGTGACCGCCGTTCCTCTGAGCTTCCTTACCTCTCCTTGTCTGCAACATATTTTAACCCCTAATGCAACCTCCACCTACCCGATGACATCCTAAGGAAATCTAATGTTAGTCTCACCTCAAGCCAACCCATTGAAACCAATGGGACTTAATTGTGACAAACCAGCCCAATTCCTTCCAGTCTGTCTGCTCCCACTGGGGTTGACATTAGATTTAACCCACTGTCAGTGTCTCAACTTTCTGTAATGCCTGGCTATTCCCTTTTCCTGCTTTCCTTCCGCCACCCTTCCCCTTTTCCAGGTATATCCGGCCTTCTATGCTTCAGCATCTCCTGCGCCGGCTGGTGTTTGATGTGCCCATCCTCAATGAGTTTGCCAAAATGTCTCTGAAGGTAAGTCGTGGTGTCTGTGTGTGTGGGGGGGGGACCATAGCATCTTCTCCAGCTTATGGTGCATGCATGGATGTGCGGATTTCCATGTTGGAAATGTGGTCGTACGGAACGTGGCTGGTGGGGCATGTCTCTCTCCGATGGCGCAAGCAGCCTCGTGGCTGTTTCTAACCCCGGTCTTCCTTTCCCTTGTCCAGCTGCTGACCAACCACTACGAACGCTGCTGGAAGTACTACTGCCTTCCCACCGGTTGGGCCAATTACGGGGTCACCTCTGAGGAGGAGCTCCACCTGACGAGGAAACTCTTCTGGGGCATCTTTGAGTCGTTATCCCACAAGGTGAGCATCCATAGGAGGGGCTTTGCCTCGGTGGCCAAGCCACTAGGAAAGAGGGCGAGTGCATCGGCAGAACAGGAACCGGGAGCCAGGTCTGCTTTGGTAGACCACAATCGTGAAGTGGCAGGCTGCAGGGGCATCACCAGGCATGAGCCAGATTAAACCTGCTGGTTAGAAGAGTGTGGGTGATTCAAGCCGAGATGGTTAAAGTGCAGCCCTGTGGATGTTGCTGGATTGCAAATCCCGGCATTCCTCGCTGTTGTCTAACCTGTCTAAGGCTGATGGGAGCTATAGTCCAAGGGGTTAGGACCCAGTCATGTGGGTAGCCCCAACTAGAGAAGATGCTTGACTCAGAAAGGTTTGCATCAGCGTCGGCTAATCATTCCGCAAAGGAGTTGAGACCCCCCTGTGGGATGCAAGCATAAAGGTGTCCACATCTGCTTTAAAGCACCCATCGTTCAGATTGGTGGTTGGGCTCAATGGCTCCTTCCCCCCCTCCCACTCCGTTGTTCTGTGGTTCTATAATCCCTGCTTGGAACTATCTGTAATACCCACATTTAATCAGGTTGTGGGAATTACAGGCAGTCCCAGCCACTGTATTCACACTGCCACCTATTCCTCATCCTCACTGGAGAACTGCCAAGCTGGAAGCATCCCTGTGGATCATCAGGTCCAGCTCCTTGTCAAGGGAGGCCCCGGTGGGGTGATTCGAACTCACAACTTCTGGCTCTGTAGCCAGAGAGACCTCAACCCCTGAGCTCTCCAGCAGTCTTAATTTCATTAGGACAGAGAGCCGGCCGTGCATAGTTCATTGCTCTGCATGGTTAGATGATGGCCCTGAAGCTTTCCTCCACCCCAGTGGGGCCCCCACCATTTGGCTTTCAGTTCTCCGTTACCTGCCCGCCCGCCTGCCTTTATCTGTGAAGGCCTGACCCGAAGAATAACTAGATGTAGCAGCTGGATTGTGGGCACAGTGGCTGGGAAAAACGGTCACTTGAAAGGCTGGAATAGAGCGGGTTTTTTTCTTCTTCACTGAGTTGCTTTTCTGTCTGACCTCTTCTCTCCCTTCCGGTGCCCAGAAATTTGACCCCGAACTGTACAAGCTTGCCATGCCCTGCCTGTGTGCCATTGCAGGGGCCATCCCTCCTGACTACGTGGACGCCAGCTACTCCTCCAAGACCGAAAAGAAGGCCTCCGTGGATGCCGAGGGCAACTTTGACCCAAAGCCGGTGGAGACGCTCAAGTGAGTGGGGTTTTGCGGCAGGGGCCAAGCTCTCAGGCTACACTAAAATTAGCAACATGAGGAGCAAAAAGAAGTTTCTCTTTACCTAGCCTTTGGGTAGCATGGCTGTTTTCAGATATTTTACTTAATCATTGCTGAAATGCCTTTGCCACCGGTCTGGTTAGGAAGGCCGGGAGAAGACACGCCAGCGTGTTTCCAGGTTTTGTGCATATTCACGGTAGTTAGAAAGTTTAAAGAGTGGGGAGCTACTCTTGTCTATAACCCATGGAGCTGTCCTACTTTGGGCACATCCTGAGAAGGCAGGATGCTCTGGAAAATGTCCTAAGGCTGGGAAAAGTGGAAGGCCAGCAGGAAAAGAGGAAGACCAAAATATGAGATGGGCTGACTCCCTCAAGGAAGCCACAGGCATGAGTCTGCAGGAGCTGAGCAGGGCGGTTGAGGTGACAGGATGCTTTGGAGAGAGGGCTCATTCACAGAGTCGACATAAGCCAGAGGCAACTTGACGGCACATAACATACTCACAGCCCTTTACCTGAGTGGGAATCATGCAGGTGTGCAAGTTCAGTGTTTAGGGGCTACCATGTCTGGACAGTGTTGCCTAGTGATTTGGGGAGGCTGCCTCCAGCATTTCGCATCCCATCAAACACAACACTCAGAGACGGGTTCCGTGGTCCACCCCTGCGAGCCTCAGCTTCCCCCTGCCTTCCGCTAAATCTCTCTTCCTGCCCTCTCACAGCGTCATCATTCCCGAGAAGCTGGACTCCTTCATCAACAAATACGCGGAGTACACGCATGAGAAATGGGCCTTTGATAAGGTAGGGAGCCTTCGTGGTGGCCGTGGCGTGGCCTCGTGGCTCTCCCGTCTCCTTTTGCATTAGACCAGCCTTCGCTACCTCACTGCCGTCCTGGAGCACTGGACTACAATTCCCGTCATTTCTCAGGAGAAGGCTGGCCGGAAATTTCCTGGCTCCCCAGCTGACCTAGAGGAGACTCAACACCTCTTGATTTCTGCCTTGTAGATCCAGAACAACTGGAGTTTCGGTGAGACCGTTGACGAGGAAGCCAAGACAAATCCCATGCTACGGCCCTATAAAACATTTTCAGAGAAGGTAAGGCCCTCTCCTGTCCTCCCCGATAAAAGAAATGGGGTTTGGGCTAAGGCCGATGTTGTGGTTACAGCTAAAGTTAGCAGAAGGGCTGGGCTTAGAGTTGGTATCAGGTTTAGAGACAGGATGTTTATTTATTTATTATTTTATTCCTTAAACCCGTGGATTGCATGATCTGTGCTGGGCACCTCTCTTGGGTGGTTTATGTCCAAAATAAATTAAATATAAATGGATATAATAAGGAACAGCTGGTCACATACAAATCAACTAGTATGTCAAAGCAGCAGCAACAACAGGGGATGGCAGCATGGGAAAGATCAGAATAGCTGATATAGCACATCATCAAAGTGACCAACATGAATTTGACCCAACTCCAGGAGGCAGTGGAAGACAGAAGGGCCTGGCGTGCTCTTGTCCATGGGGTCACGAAGAGTCGGACACGACTGAATGACTCAATCACAACAAGCACGTTAAGAGAGGTTGCTCTCAAAGGCTTCGAAGAACAGCCTTGTTTTGAGCTGTCTGTTAAAGGCTGCGAGGAAGGGGTCCAGGCCCAGCTCGAAGTTCAGGGGCTCAGATATAAAAGGAGAGTCTCAGGGTCCAGGCCCGGCTCGAAGATAAGTTTCAGAAGGTATGAGATCTGCAATAGATCATTTGACCCTCGAACTAGATCAGGGGCTCAGATATAAAAGGAGAGTCTCCCCTAGCTCCAGAGCGTGGTCTCATTAACTTTTTGCCTCAAATGCGTTGCTCCAGATTATCTGGTCAAAATCTTGTTCTTAGGTGGGCAATCCTTTAAGGGCTGATTCTGATCCAGAAGGAAAGACGAGGAAAAAAAAGACCAGCTTTGTAGCTTTTGAAAAGTTTGCCCCCTTTTCTTTTGCCTGCCACTTGGCATCTTCTTTGCCGCCTGCAGGACAAGGAGATTTACAGGTGGCCCATCAAGGAGTCCTTGAAAGCCATGATTGCCTGGGAGTGGACGATCGAGAAGGCCCGGGAGGGGGATGAGGAGAAGAGTGAGAAGAAGAAGACGCGGAAGATCTCACAGACACAGGTTTGCCCCCCTCTTCCCGGTCTGGTTTCTAGATGAGGAAGAACTTTTGGGGTGTAAGGAAGAAGGAGTAACATTTTCCCCCACCCCAATGAAAAACAATTGAGAAGAGGGTGGTTTTAAGGAGGAGGATGTCCTCTAAGACCCTTTTTTCACTCTCCATGTTTTCTAATCAGAGGTCCCTCCCTGAAATGTCCTGGTGTTTAGTTATCCTTCCGTATTTTTCCTCGTGTAACTGTAGAAACAGTTGATGAGGTCTCCTGTTTTGCTTCGAAGAGTCCTCTGATGCCTGGAGTTGGTTTCTTCCTCACTCTCTGGGGAAATTAAAAGTACATTCAACAGCAGGGCAATTCGGAATCCGGACTCTCCTGGGTTCTACCACTCTTCCATGAGGGAGGGAGATTTCGAGCAAACCGGGCCTAGTCTAGCTAATGAAAAAGAAGTAGGAGAGTAGACACAAGGAACCTGTACATTTCTGTTTTCATGTTCTCTGTAGACCTACGACCCAAGCCACGGCTACAATCCTCAGCCTATAGACCTCTCTGGGGTGACCCTTTCGAGGGAACTGCAGGTGAGTAAGCAGTTTACAGGGACAAGATCAGCTGAAAAATAAGAGTCTAAGCAATGAATCTTTGGCAGACAGGGTAAATGAACAAAATAGAGACTACAGAGTTTGTGAGAACGGAACAAACAAAACCATTTTTCATGGTAATCTTCCACTTGGGCAATGGGTGGAGGAAACCGTTTTAGAGAAAGAAACTTACAAATTGTCACACAATGTGCAGTGGCATTTTTTAATGGCTTGATAGAACAGCATTCCTTCTAGCCCAGGCCCTGGAGCTGTTGACGTTTATCATCTTCCCTTTGCTGTTGGTCTCCCTTCGCAGGCCATGGCCGAGCAGTTGGCTGAGAACTACCACAACACCTGGGGGCGCAAGAAGAAAATGGAGCTGGAAGCCAAAGGTGAGTCTCCCCTTCTCTGGCTCTTTGGCCTTGGGTCTCCAGCAGCCTTCGTGCGCTCTCTTTCTCACCCTCTCTTTCCTCCAGGTGGAGGCACTCACCCTCTCTTGGTGCCTTATGACACGCTAACCGCCAAGGAGAAGGCCCGGGACCGAGAAAAAGCCCAGGAATTGCTCAAATTCCTGCAACTTAATGGCTATGCAGTGACGAGGTGAGACACGGGAGGCTGCGTTGGTAGCTATCTCTGTGTGTGTGTGTGTGTGTGTGTGTGTATGTGTGTGTGTGTGTGTACGTACGCGCGTGCAGGAGAATCTACTTTGTGTTCTGAACAAGCGAAGAGAGCAATGTCCTTTTGGCAAGGGACCCCACACGGAACAGTCCCCGGGGGGGGAGGGGAAATTTGTCCTCAGAAGAGTGGAAGCCTTAAGAAATTTTTATCCCAATACCTTAAAAATGTCCTTCAAATATATTTCTTGAGCTTAATGGCTATGCGGTGACGAGGTGAGCCGGAAAGACACAGGAGGCTGCGTTGGTCTCTCTCTCTCTCTCTCTCTCTCTCTCTCTCTCTCTCTCTCTGTGTGTGTGTGTGTGTGTGCGTGTGTGAGCAAATGAAGAGAGCAATGTCCTTTTGGCAAGTGACCCCACATGGAACAGTCCCCGGGGGGGGGAGGTTTGTCCTCAGGAGAGCGGAACCCTTGAGAAATTTTTATCCCAATGCCTTAAAAATGTCCTTCAAATATATTTCTTGAAAGCACGTGGCCGTTGTGGGTGATGCTACTGCTGCAGCGGCCTGGTGTATCTTAGACACCCAAAACAAGAACGCCCACCCAAACTTAGCTCTTGTGTCTGTTGCCAACCTTTCTTCCAGAGGGTTGAAAGACATGGAACTGGACACGTCCTCCATCGAGAAACGCTTCGCGTACGGGTTCCTGCAGCAACTGCTGAAGTGGATGGACATCTCGCAGGAATTCATTGCCCACCTCGGTAAAGGAGGAGGGTTTTTTGTGGGATGCTAAGCCCTCTTGTTTTTGTTTTGGTTGGTTCCTCCCACCATGATCCTCTCTATGTGGTAGGGAGTGGTAGGGAAGGAAGAACTGGAACTTGAACTCGTCTTTTTAGTTGAGATTTCTTAGGAAGGGATCAGACTGAAGTCCAGGAGAGGCCCGCTGAACCATGGCCCCCTGGTATCAAGGAGTTAATAAAAGAGGTGGGGGAGAACCAGAAGCAGGATGCCCAGACCCCTCTTGTCTGAAAGGACTGGGAAATCTGCGTCTGCTCTGGATTCCGTTTTCATCCTTGGGAATGGCCAGACCTCTCTCCCTTTTTCACTGCCCAAACAAAGGCTACAGGGGGGAAAAGGTGAAGGGCACATGTTTATACAGAGGCACACGCTTCCTACCTCTTGGTGATCCTCACCAAAGGGCTTCTTTCTATCTCAGAGGCTGTGGTGAGCAGCGGACGGGTGGAAAAGTCCCCTCATGAACAGGAGATCAAGTTCTTTGCAAAGGTTAGTCAGTCTGTGTGTCTGTCTGTCTGTGTGTGTGTGTCTGTCTGTCTGTCCGTCTCTCTCTCTCTCTCTCTCTCTGTGCATTGGGTAAGAAGGGGTTGGGCTGAGGTCGCCAGCTCTCAGCATAATGCTTATGGTGCATGAACCAAAGGTATTGGATGTCCATGCAGACCCATCTGAAGGACGCTGCTGGGTCGTAGACGTTTTCCACCTACTCATTTCCTCTCCCTTTCAGATCTTGTTGCCTCTGATCAACCAGTACTTCACCAATCACTGCCTTTACTTCCTGTCCACACCTGCCAAAGTCCTAGGCAGCGGGGGCCACGCCTCTAATAAGGAGAAAGAGATGATTACCAGGTGAGAACCGAGAACGTTCCCCCGCGGCCTGTTTGTCCACATACCTATGTGGATGCACTGGCCAAAAATCCACATATTTTGCTGTCAGGGGTACCCCTCGGATCTCTACTTTGGGAAACAGGGATGAACATATGTTTGCAAACGTATTTATGATGCACCTGAATTACCTGTAGCTCCACGTAGGGTAGATCTCTTGAGCAGGACATAGCTTAATTGTTTGTAAAGTAGAAAAAGGCTCTAAGTGTTAAAACGGAGATAAAAATGTTCTGAACTTCAAATGTTGGCAATTCACTTTTTGAACTGTAAACACCTGAAAATGTATACCTCTTTATAACACACGGCCACACCCTCGTGTGAGTCTCTGAGGCATTCTGGGTTCATCCTCGCTCTCTGGGCGATCTCCCTTGGAGTCTCTTTCTCTCCCACTTAGCGGAGTTCTTTTCCCCCTTGAATCGTTGTCTCTGCTTGCTGCTCCAAAATGTGAGTTTCCGGTAGAAGATGGAAGGGGCAGAGAGACCATGGGGCACCAGCTTTTCCCACCCAGGTGCCTTTGAGATGTAGGGCAGGGGGCTTCAGGAAACGGTAGCCTAATGTGTCTGAAAGGCACCCGGTTGGAAAAACATCCACCCGAGGCCTTTTCACAGCAGCCTCAACCAGGCTCCGATGCCTCTTCCCCTCCTCTGCTGTCCTTCTCCCTGTGCGGACTCTTCTTCTGATCTGTATGGTCTTTTCGTTCTCTCCTCCTGCCTTCTCTTCTCTGTCCTTCAGCCTTTTCTGCAAACTCGCCGCCTTGGTCAGGCACCGGGTGTCTCTCTTCGGTAAGCAGCCGCCTTCCTCTTCTCCTGCTTGGGAATGGTTTCCTTCCTCCCCACGTCTTACCTGTCCTGGCGCCTGGCCTTGTGGGGTTTCAGTCCTTTTCTCCTTGCAGATATGACACTCTCTTTCTCTGATCGTGGGCCCCAGGGCTATGGGGGGCTTAACCCAGGCTGTGTAAACCCAGATATTCTCTCTTCCCATCAGGCACCGATGCTGCTGCTGTGGTGAACTGCCTCCATATCCTCGCTCGCTCCTTGGATGCCAGGCGAGTAGGGTTCTTGATTCCTCCCAAGGTCTTCCCCCACCCTTCTCGAAGAGAGCTCTAAAGACAAGCATAGCATAAGCCATTCCTTCCTCTGGTGTAAAACTTCGGAATATATGCCTTGTGGCACCTTTAAGACGAACGTATATTTTAGTCTGCAGTTTCCAAGGCCATGAACTGTAATCTGCAAAAGTTCACGTTAAAACAAATTTGGGTCAAACCTCTTGAAGGTGTCAAGACTTTATTTATTGTTGTTGCCCTGCAACAGACCAACACGGCTACTTTTCTGAAAATGGCTATCGTGGAAAGTCCCTCAAATGTAACCCTCGGGGCATCTGTAAAATGTGGGAGCGTCTGAATTTGAATCCAGATCTGAGGCTAAGAGTAGTGGGATTCTGTGGCTTGGTTAAGAAAGGGTTTGACTTGAAAAGTGGAAAAGTAGCTGGAAGTTAGGATGGTAGGATGGGTTACTGTGTTAAATATACAGGAATGTAAATAATCATTTTAGAGCAAAAAATCATCCTTCCTTAGTGATCAGATGCAATGCTGGGCACAGCAGGCATCCTCCCGGAACGGGCCTTCACTCATAGGGTCAAAGGTGGGGGGAGACATCTTCGTGCACAGTGCAATATTGCTACCTGCAGTTGTTGTCATGACTTCTATTAGAAAAAAAAAATAAGCTACCTGTTTATATTAAATTACATTAAATTAATTGAATCTATTAAAAGAGAGCTCTCCCACCCCTTTAAAATCCGTTTGATTAAATATTACATTCCTGATGAAGAGGGCAAGACGTCACTGTCCCTTAAGTGTGCAAATGTGTGATCTCTGAGGACTTTTCTTCTCCTTCTTTTTTCTTCTTCAGGACGGTGATGAAATCGGGGCCTGAGATCGTGAAGGCGGGGCTCCGCTCTTTCTTTGAAGGCGCCTCAGACGACATCGAGAAGATGGTGGAGAACCTGAAGCTCGGCAAAGTGTCGCAGTCTCGCACCCAGGTCAAGGGCGTGGGCCAGAACATCACCTACACCACCGTGGCCTTGCTGCCTGTGCTCACCTCCCTCTTCGAGCACATCGCCCAGCACCAGTTCGGAGACGACGTCATCTGTGAGCGACCAAAGATTGGGAGTGGGAGGGAGGGCTGGGCCTGGATTTCGGCTGCCGTTCACGACACAAGGAACGCCGGTCCCTCCAGCTTAAGGTGGTCTCTTACACATCACCAGAGAGAAGACCAAAAGATAGGGTTTTGTTGAAAGGATGCATTTGTCGAGTGAACTCCCTTGCTGTTTTCCTCGCGGCATCCAAGGCAGAAAACCCAGTCTTGAAATGTAGTCATGGCCCCCAGCTTTTGAATATACCAACGGGAAGGGTTGGGGGAATCCAAAAAACCACGGATGCCTCTGTCTGATAGCCAGAGACCATCTAGAGAGGAAAAACCGTGTGAGTTTGATGGGGAAACCGCCTCCTTGTCCTTTTCTGTTTCCACAGTGGACGACGTTCAAGTCTCGTGCTACCGGACGCTGTGCAGTATTTATTCCCTGGGCACCACCAAAAACCCTTACGTGGAGAGGTGAGTGTGAGCACACGGGCCTTGGCGTGAGCAGGGGATTCACAACTGGAATGACCGGGGTGCATTTTCCCAACCAATTCAGGTTTGGGCGATTTCCAGAGTAAATCATAAATAAATAAATAAGGCTATCCGCTCCCTTGTCTGTCTTGCCCTCTGCAGGCAACGGCCGCAACTCGGGGAATGCCTGGCACGGCTGGCCGCGGCCATGCCGGTGGCTTTCCTGGAGCCCCACATCAATGAGTACAACCCTTACTCCGTCTACACCACCAAATCGCCAAGGGAACGAGCCAGTAAGTGCCCGTAGAGGGAGGAAGAAGGGCTGGGCCCACAGCTCCTGCTCTCTTGACTTGAAGCTTAGCCCTCTTTATTCTGTCTTTTTCTCATGGGGTTCAAGCCCCACTCTAAACAAAACCCCCTTGCCACTTCCCCCCCTCTTCTTTTTCATCCTTGGCCCTGCACCGTATCCATGTGGGTCCTCCTGGCCTGGCCAGGTCCTCCCACTCAAAGCTATGTTTCTTTAGCGCAAAATGTGATGTCCTTCTAAGGGCCTCCAGTGGTCCGTAGAAACCTGGGAGACCCGCAAACCAGGCTGTGATGGGGAAGCTGGTAGGAGGGTTGAGGAATCCTTGTGGGCCAGACGGGGACCTTCGCAAGCGCCAGATTCAATGTTCAATGTCTTCTTCCGGTCACACACCATAGTAATAACAAACTAAACAGAACTTCAATTCCACCTTCAGTCCTGGGCCTGCCAAACTGTGTGGAGGAGATGTGCCCGGACATTCCCGTTCTGGACAGACTCATGAAGGAGATCGGCGGGCTGGCCGAGTCCGGGGCCCGTTACACGGAGATGCCCCACGTGATCGAGGTCACCTTACCCATGCTGTGCAACTACTTGCCACGCTGGTGGGAGAGGGGCTCCGAAACCAACCCGCAAGGCCCCTGGTGCACCGACGTGACATCCGACCACCTGAACAGCCTTCTGGGCAACATCCTGAAGATCATTGTCAACAACCTGGGTATCGACGAAGCCTCCTGGATGAAGCGGCTGGCAGGTAATGAGGATCGGAGATCTGGGGCTGGGTTCCTGCGGGGGGGGGCAGGTTTCTTTAGTGGGTGGGTGGGAAACATGGCCCACAGAGCTCAGAAAGAAGAACCAGGCAGAGCCTGGGCCGTCGGAAGGAAAAGGGGAGCTTTTCTGTGCTGATAGCTCTCTGGTTAAATCCATCTGTGGATTAATCCTGGGAGCATCATTTTGGGCTCTGGCGGCTGAGGACTGGTGATTCAAAGTCTCAAGAAATAGAATCCAGGACCCACCGAGAATGCGGAGAACGAGAGGCAGGTCTCCATCAGATCTTTGCCCTTAGTGGGCTCCCCATGCAGCCTTGACAAGTGCCAGAGGTTAGCTGGAGCATTGGCTTTTCCAAGGAGCAAATACCAGATCTATAGCGGGCAGGAACTGGGGAAAGATTTAGGTTTTCAGGCAGGTTTGTTCCTGTCTGAGAGTTCTGGAGTAATCAAGAGGGGTCTAGTCATGCCTTAGCCTTTCAGAAGATCCTGAGGCCAGGTGGTGGTGGTGGAAGAAACCTTCTTATCTTGGCCAAGGCGCCTCTCCTCTCCGTTCAGGGCTGGGGCTTCGAGGATCCCTGCCCAACCTTTTTCTGCAGCCTTCCTGAGATGTGGGTGGGGTGGGGGTGACATGTTTTAAGCCCAAGGGGCTTTCTCCAAAAACTGGAAGGAACTTTTGCTCACTCTTTATGAAGGGAAGCATAAGAAAATGGCCTTTTTCAGCCCCAGATTGTAGAAGTCGGGGTCATTGAGATATTTGAGGGAACAGGTTGTCCTTCAAGATTCGGAGTCCACGAGTAGGGGGGAATTGCCGTGGAATTTGTGGCCATTGCTCACGATCCCCGTGGCTTCCCATCCAGTGTTCGCTCAGCCCATCGTCAGCAAGGCCAAGCCCGAACTGCTTCGTTCTCACTTCATTCCCACCATGGAGAAGCTGAAGAAGCGGGCGGGGAAAGTGGTGGCAGAGGAAGAACAGATGCGTTTGGAGGCTAAGTCTGAATCTGAGGATGCCGAGCTGCTGATCCGGGATGAGTTCTCCGTTCTCTGTCGGGACCTCTACGCACTCTACCCGCTCCTCATCCGATACGTCGACAATAACAGGTACAGGGGTGAGGAACAGATGGGTATGGATGTGTGGCCTGAACAGAAGGTTGTAACTCAGAAGGAGCAATAAGAGGGATATGGAGCAGTGGTAGCACAGCGGTTAAACTGCAGTACTGTAGTCAGGACTCTGCTCACGACCTGGATTCAATCCCAAGGAGCCGGCTTGAGGTTGACTCAGCCTTCTATCCTTCTGAGGTCAGTAAATTGTGTGTGCCATGTGTAGCCACCATAATTAAAATTTAACACACACCCCCAGGGGGAGGGCAGTAGAGAAGCAGAACACTTTGCTTTGCTTCCTCAATTTCATCTGCCGATTAGCACCTCCTCCAGGCCAGCACTTTGCATCCTGCAGCAGCGGCTGCCAAGCCCCCGTTCTGCCCCCTCTGGATCTGCCTGGTGGGAGTCATGATGTTGGTGGAAAAGCAGATGCGCCCCCCCCCATCCCCTCCCCTGAGAGTCTGCCAGCAGGAAAGGCTGTGCACGCTGAGTCTTCTCTTTGGACTCTCAGGGCCAACTGGTTGACGGTACCGGACTCTGATGCCGAGGAGCTCTTCCGGATGGTTGGGGAAGTGTTCATTTACTGGTCCAAGTCACATGTGAGTAAGCCCGCGGCAGTGGTGTGGACGCCAGTGAAGCCGCATCGGGTGCCCTCCTGTCCCCCCCCCCCCCCCGCCCGTGTGGCTCTGAGCTTATGCACACAGCTGCCCCTCAGCCGAGTCATATGGGAATCTTAAGTTTGACTTTGTGGGGTGCCCAAATGCCCTGGACTATTCTCGGTCTGCGGGAAGGAGCCACCCAGGAGTTAATCCATTCCTGGACATCTCCTCCTCCGCAGACCAGAATGGACCTTCACGTCGATAAGCCAATGTCCCGTTCTGTTCCTTGAATGGGAGACATCTAAAGGGGACCAGTTGTAGATCTGCCTTTTTGGGGACCCTGAAACTTGGACTGTTTTTTGGGGGGAGGCTTCGCAACCAGCAACAAGGTCTGGGGAACCACTCTTACCTTCTTCAGTGGGGCAGTTCCATGACAGATCACCACGATTTATTTAAAAATGTAGGATTAGGCGCCCTGAAGCTTAATCTTCATTAGTTTCATAGGAGATCCAGCCTTCCCGGGCACGCGGGCGATGGGTGGAGTGATTAGAAACCACCCAGAGTCAGAATGCCCATCCGTCGGCATCTCTTCCGTTATGGCCAATGCATCTGCTCATCCACCGCTAACAGAGCAGAAAGCCTGGCTTATCCCTTTCTCTTCCACCCTGTAGAACTTCAAGCGAGAAGAGCAAAACTTTGTGGTGCAGAACGAAATCAACAACATGTCCTTCCTGACGGCGGACAGCAAAAGCAAAATGTCCAAGGTAAGAAGGGGGAAGACCTCTCTTGTGGAAAATGGGAGAGGGTCAAAGGGAGAGCCAGTCGTTGGTCTCCCCTCTCTCCGGGGCCAGAAGTTTCCTCGGGAAAGAGGAGTGTGGAAAACCTGTTGAGCTGACAGCCTCGGGGGCTGCAGTTCTAGAGAAGGAAGTGGGTGCCTCAGCCTAAACCCCTGGGGGCTGGCCGTTGTACTGTCCAGGTGGACGGGGTCAGGGCATGCAGGGAAGCGGCAAGAAATCCATAGTTTGCATCTCAGCACAGCTGAGAGCTTACTAGATGCTCCCCATTCATTTCTCTGTCTCCGCCTTCCTCTTTCTCTTCCAGCAGAGGGTTGTGATAGGGATGGCTTGTGTATCCAGCAGGGAGGTGCCGGGGGGGTCATTTAAGTAATGTTAGGTGATGAGCTTTGAAAGACGAAGCCCTGTGGAAGAGACGGGGAGCCTTGTTGTGAGTGCTGTCCTTCCCTTTTTTTCCTCTGGGGTGCCTCTCCTGTCTCAAAGGGGGCCGCTCCCTGACCACGTGCCTGTCACCCGACTCTTTTTTATTTCCATAACTCTACCGGCCATTCTGCAATCCGTGTGACAGGAACCGACTCTTGGGAGGGCGCCTGCCACCCCTCCCTCTTAACTTTGGCTGCAACTAACCAGCTGGGAAATCCTGAGTAACATAGGCTGGTGGTTTGAACTTTTTTTTATTGAACCTGTGGTCACCGTCAGCACTCATGGGCATAATACATTGAATACATGATTTGCAACATTTGGAAAGCTTCAGCAAGGACGGCCTCACGGTGGAGATCAAGGTGGCGGGGAGAGAAAAATGGGCGAAAGAACGGAAGAGCGAGTGTGTGTGTGAGAGAGAGAATGGGCCAGGGAGAGAAGCCGCGTAACTTCTGGATGCCCTGCTCGTTGGAGCCTTCGGGCGCTCCTGCTGGCCTGTTTTTCACTCCTGCAGGGGCAGGACCAGAAATTGGACTTCCTTTTTTTCAAGGGGGAAAGAATGCCAGGATTCAACAACGTCCAAACACCGCCCGGTCTCCACACATGGGCCTTTTTTGGGAGCCACCCTTCTTACTGTCCGATGGATCGGCGGGTTGGGGCAGGGGAAGAAGAAACCGAAGAAGCCACTGGGGATCTTGGGGCCCTCTCGGATCCTGCCGAGATTCTTTTCCCATGTCTGTGTTGGGAGTATGGGCTTGCATCTCCATCTAACCTTCTGTTTCTCCTCTTCTGTCTTGTCTCCCTCTTCTCCCCGCACCGTATGTGAGTTTAGTCTGGAGACAGCCAGGTTAGAACCTGCAACAGCTGTTCCCTTGCCCCCGTTTCTGTCGTCGTTCTCGGGCCACGCGGAGACAGCATGGCGCAACGCGCGCAACCTCTGCCGTGACCCTCCCCTCCCTCCCTCACGGGAGAGCGGTGGGAGTCCTTCAGAAAACCAAACAAGGGACCAGGAAGGTGGGGAGAGAGGGAAGGGGACGCGGCTGCATGGAGGATGGCAGGAGCGCAGTGGCTTTCCGCAGCTCTGGCAGCAACGCATCATGCATCCGATGAGTTGGCCTCGATAAGCCATCAACAGCCCGATTGGTGGGGCAGCCCTTCAATCCCGTAGGGAAGGCAGCCTTGCTGTTGAAAGCAGCCTGACGTGCTAGCCTAGGCTCTCTTCCCTTGGCAGGCACCCCTGAAATCTCTGACCTCTCTAGCAGGCCCTTTCCTGAAAGCAACTGCCCCCCCCCCCGAGAAGGCCCTATCCAATCCCAGCATGTGTTGGTCCCTTCTTTCCTCCCTCCCTTCTCCCTGTCTTTAATTTTTTTCTTCTTTCCATCCATCCATCATCAGCTCCTTCCTTCCTTCCTTCCTTCCTTCCTTCCTTCCTTCCTCCCTCCCTCCCCCCAATCTGGACTCTTTTGGGGATTCCTCTGTTTGCCATCCCTGTTTTCTTCCTTGCGGCCCTGAACCCATCATAATCCAGCTGGTTGTGACATCCTCCACCACCCCCCGACTGCCCTGCCACCCTGCCTGTGGGAGGGAGGGAGGAGGTGTCTGCGATGCCACACGTGGCCGATTATGTGTCTTGGCTACCAACGGTGCTGTGTGTCTTGTGTGCCGTAATGTGTAGAGATGACAAAGGCTCTTGCAAGGCTGACCGTAGGAGAACGTAGGCTCTGGGGGGCTGCAGTGCGGGGAGGGGAGGGGTGGCCGTCTTGGTTTGTCTTGTTCCTCGTTTCTCTAGGGAAAATAGTGGGGTGTTGAACTGCTCCATTTTATGCCCATCCAGGTCTCCCCCTCTTAATGAGATTCCATGATTTCCCTTCAGAATCTCTAGTTGCAGAACCTCAGGGCACCCAGGCATAA